GGTGTTGATTTCGACCGGGGGGAATCGGGAGGAGTGGATCTGCGTCCAGGAGAACTGCGAGAAGGCGAATGGGGTGACCTTCGCACAGGCTGCGGAACATGTGGTCTCTCAGCGGCACAGCGATGGTCTGGTGTCAGGCTTGGCAACACGCAGCTCCAAAGCAGGGGTCAACCTGACCGCGGCGAAGAAGGAGTTCGGTGTGTGAAGGGGTGGCCTGGTTCCATGGAAGTGGAGATGCTTGCCTGCGGTGTAGGGGAGAAAGCACAACGAAGAGTTAGAAGTAGGCGGAGATGTATCATGTGCTGTATCGACGGGAGCAATGAGTCACTGAGAGCTGTTGTTTCACCACCCTGTGGATGCGTGGGGGCAGCGGCAAAGGTTGATTAATGGATAACACCAACCGGATAATGTTTCTGTCCCTGAATGTCAACGGCCTGGGAAGTCTAGGAAAGCAACAAGCAGTCAAACGTTGGATCAGAACATCAGCAGACATAGTAATAATGGCGGACACAAGAATTGCGGAAGACCACAATTTCTGGACTGAACTGCGGCCCAGCAGCATGGTCGCAGTGGCAGCACCTACCAGAGCTGGCGGTTTGGCCGTCCTGAGTTTCAAGGATGGGGTACAGATAGAGGATGTTCAGAGTCACCCTTCGGGTAGACTGTTACACGCCCGGCTGAGGTGGGGGACGAGGGTGCTGCGGGTACTGGCGGTGTATTTCCCTGCGCAACCGCTACCAAGGGGGAGTTTCCTGGGCACCGCCTTCAAGGACGTTACGGACAGCTTGCCAAGGGGGGAGGATCTTGTGGTGGCAGGGGATTTCAACATGATTGGAGACCCCATACTGGACAAGTCAAACAGGCAGGGGGTGACGGGCGATAACGGCCGAATGATGCAGATGTTAGGGGATTTCCACGCGAAGGATGTGTTTCGGGAGCTGTATCCGGACGAGAGACAGTTTACTTTCTACTGCAAGTCGGCGAAGGTCAGCTCGAGGATTGACAGGGTGCTAGTGTCCCAGTCCATGCTGCACCTGGTGATGGAGGTGAAGCACAAGAAGGTGTCGGTGGGGATTACAGACCATATGTTCGCAGTGAGGTTGAGGCTTGGGTGGAGGGGCCCGCGTGAATCAGGTCCGGGGTTGTGGCGTTTCCCGGCAAGGCTGTTGAAGCGGCCAGGAGTGGCGAAAGCGATTGCGGAAGTGGTTCGGAAGCACCGAGAAGAAGGCTGTGGTGACTTCGACAGGTTGACGAGGGGCTTAACTGCGAAGCTAAGGAAGTATGACAAAGAGGAGAGGAAGCGGGTGAAGCTCACGAGGGGTATTCTGGAGGAGCAAGTATAGCAATTACAACACAAGGTGATGGCTGACCCCTACGACGATGAGGTGCAGGCGCTGCTGTCCAGCCGGGAGGCGATGTTGCAAAGATATTGGGATGGGAGGAGGAATTTGATGCAGTTAAGGACAGGGCTCAAGATACAGCTGGATGGGGAAGCGCCAACGAGTTTCCTGACGGCGCTGGTCAAGAGTAGGAAGGCAAGAACGGGGATAAAGGAGTTGGTGAGAAATGGGGTCAGCCACACAGTGGCACGGGAAATACTGGGTGCGGCTACCTGTCATTTCAAAGAGGTGTTCGATGAAGCACCGGCAGGTGGTACCGAGCCAAGGCTGGAATGGTCGCCGAGGAAGACGCTGGACGTGGTGGCTGCAGAGAGCCTGACGAAAGACTGGTCAGAGCAGGAGGTTAAGCAGGCGCTCAAAGAGCTGGCCAACGACAAATCGCCAGGATGGGACGGGCTGCCCAAAGAGCTTTTCCAGCGGCATTGGGAGTTGCTGCGGGAGCCGATGATGAAGATGATCGGGGAGTTCACCGCGACAGGGAAGTTGCCGGATGCGGCAAATGAGGCGGTCACTATACTGCTGTACAAGAAAGGTGCGGAGACGGACATAAAGAACTACAGGCCGATTACACTGCTTTCAGGGGTGTACAAACTCCTCGCGAAAGTGGTAGCGACGAGGATGAAGGCGGTGCTGGGTCAGATGATCTCAAAGGAGCAGTACGGCTTCTTACCTGGGAGGAGGTTAACGGACGCAGTGTCGATGGTAGCTGATATGATTGAAGCAGGCCGGAACGAGAACAGTGACTGGTACCTACTCCTGATCGACTTCGAGAAGGCGTACGATTCAGTGCGCAGGGGCTTCATGATGGACACAGTCGCCAAGCTGGGCTTCCCGCCGAGATTTGTACGGTGGATAGAGGCTCTGCACAGAGATGTTCACACAAGGCTGTGTGTTAACGGCTGGGTGGGAGAGCAAATCGAGATGAGGAAAGGGGTGCGCCAAGGCTGCCCACTGGCGCCGTACCTTTTCTTGTGCGCGGTGGAGCCACTGAGCTGGTTAGCAGAGGAAAGGAAGCTGGGAATCGGGGAAGGTAACTGCGACAGGCTGTCATATGTGGGGTACGCGGATGACACGACCTTGCTGCTGGAGGGAGAGCAGCAATTGAAGGATGCGGGCGTGCTGCTGCAAGAGTACGCGGAGGTGTCGGGGCTGAAAGTTAACAAGGGGAAGTCTGCGGTCCTGCCGTTAGGGAGGAATGTGGGACAACAGGCACCAGGGGATACGGAGTACAAGTGGGTGGGGGCAAACGAGGTTGAAAGGCTTCTTGGAGTGTGGATCTCCCCTGGGGGGGACGCGGAGGCAACGTGGGAAAAGGCCTTTGACAGAGCGGCAGGAGAACTGAGCAAGTGGAGCAACAAAGTATCTCACGACAGGAGCTCGGGTGACCATCATCAACGGCTACGTCCTGCCGATCTTCCTCTTTCAAGCGCAGGTGTACCCGCCGGACGACCTGCTGTGGCGTAGGGTGGAGAAGTTGATTGAAAACTTTGTGTCCGATAATCATGCAGACACAGAGCGGCACTTCAGGCTCTGGAGCGGGGATCTGATATACACGTCAAGGGAGCAAGGGGGACTGGGGGTGATAGATCCGAGGGGGAGAATCGATAGTGTGGCGATGAGGTGCGCAGGAATGGCGCTGCAGCAGGAATGCTCACTAAGAAGAGGTTTGTCGGAGAAAGCGGCAGGCCTACCTCTTGGGTGGGCGACGCTGTATGCACATAAGGCGGTACTGAGAGGAGGCTTGTTTAAAAGCAGGAGGTGGGCAAGGCTGTGTAAGACTTTGTTAAAGTCAACGGTGGTGGCAGTACCAGGGGCGGCGTCTAGGTGGGATGCAGAAGAGGAGTTTCTGTGCTATAATAGGCACATCATTCACCGCGGTGACGCCCCATTCGGTGGGCAGAAGGGTACGGAGAAGCTGAGAAAGTGGCGAATGCGCGACATGGTGCAGAGGAAATGGGATGGCACAAGGACGCTTAAGTCGGAGGTGACACTGGCAAGGGAGTTGGGCGGGAACAAAGAGGCGGAGATGGCGCTGAAGGCGTTCAACGCGGCACCATAGCGGTGGCGACAGTGGCTGTTGGCGCCTCTGACGGCGGAGGAAGTCGCGGCAGAATCATCGGTGGTGTGTTTCCAAGCGGACAAAGGTGTCTCTGGGAAATCTGCGGCAAGATGGGCAAAAAGGTGGAGCTTCGGGGGCTCAGCGGCAAAGGAGAGCGCACGTCGTGGGATGTAAGGCTGGTGCTGTGCTGCGACAGTGTGGTGCCGGCGAGGTTATCCCGTGAGCAGGCGATACGGGAGGCCGGGGATCCAAGGGCTCGGTTGCTCAGCTCATCGCTATTCAAAGAAGAGGTGGTGGTTCCAGTGAGGGAACTCAGAGAGCCAAGCAAGGGGATAGAGGCGGTGGAAGGGAAGAGGTTGAGCTGGGAGGCCCGGCCGGGCAGAAAAATTGACTGGGAGAGGAGCAGGAGGGTCCGGGATTCTTTGGTGGTTCCGGCCAAGGCGAGAGATGTGCTCCTCCGCGTGCACAACCTCAACTTGCAAGTGGGGGAGAGGGTTTCGTTTGTGAAAGGGGGGGTGGCATGCCCGAACTGCGGGCTGGAGGAGACGTTGGAACATTGTTTGCTGGAATGCAGGAGTGTGGCACCAGTGGCCCGTGCTGTCAAATCGGCGCTCAGCATGATGCAGCCAGCAAGGCGGGTTGACAGGTTGGCAGATTTTGTGTTTGGGGAAGAGGAAACGAAGTCCGGTTTTCCCGAGGCTACAATGGTGGCGGTGGCGATGCACCAGGTTTGGTTGGGAAGGTGTGATGTGTCGCTTCGCAAGGGGAAGAGGTTCCAGGCACGGAAGGTGCTCAGGAGGATTAATGTCGAGTTCAACAAACATGCGAGAATCTATTGTGGCAAACTGAGCAAGCAGGCGAGGAAGGATAAGGCGAGGTGGAACTTGGCGGAGGATGAGGCACGTGTCATGCGGCGGATATGCGTCAGCGAGGTAGTGGGGTTGAAGTGGCAAGGTGATTTTCAGTCTATCTGGTCGAACCCGAGGACCTTTGTGAAGCCACCGTAAAGCTGTGGGGAGGGCCAGGCGAAATTTCGTCAGCCTGATCCCAGTTTATCAGTTACGACTGAAGTGTTTTGCTTGTACTGTATTGTGTAAGCTTTCACTAAAAAAAAAAAAAAAAAAAAAAAAAAAAAAAAAAAAAAAATCGAGTGGTAGCATGTGCAATTCACACGGAACAACTGCCATGGGAAAAAAACATACGCGGGAAAAAACAGAGTTCCAAGGTGAAGGGAAGGGACGAGAGGGGAGAGCACGAAGGTGACGGGGCGAGAGGGGAAACGAGGAGGACGGGAAGAAGGGGGGAAAATGAGGGTGACGGACGAGCGGGGACACGAAGGGGGCGGGATTAAGCGGGGGACATGTAGGCGACGGGACGACGGAGAACGTGAGGAGGGCGACGGGATGGGAGGTGAGAGATGAAAAGAAGATGAGAGGGCATTTCGTGGCGAGCTCGAGGCCGGCGAGGTGGGTGATGGGAGGGAGAGAGGCAGGGCGCGATTGGGCGTTTCAGGGCGAGCGCGAAGGCGACAAGAAGGGAGATCACGAGGGCGACGGGAAGGCATGGGATGGGCGAGTGCGAAAGCGCGGGAGCGGGAGGGAAGGCACGAGGGCGACGGGACGGGACGGGAGAGCGCGGAGGCGATGGGAAGCGAGGAAAGACACGGGGTGGGCGACGCGAGGGTGTTTCGGAGGGGAGGCGAGAGGAGTGAGAGGGAGGGGGCGACGGGAATTGTGACGCTACGAGTGGGAGAGAGGCCGATAGGGACAAGAATGGTGATGTTGGGAGAGGGGGGGGGGGGAGAAAGCGAGCTCGACGGGAGCGGGGGGGGGGGAGAGCGAGCTCGACGGGAGACGAGGAGAGAAAGCGAGCTCGACAGGAGAGGGGGGGAGAAGGGCGAGAGGAAGGGAGAGAGGAAGGGCGCGGGTAGCGCGTTTGAGGGCGAGTGCTAAGGCGACGAGGCAGGCGATGGGAAGGGAGAGACGACAGCGAGGGTAATGGAAGGGGGGCGGAGAAATCGAGGGCGATGGGAGGGGAGCGAAGAACACCAGAAAGACAGTAGGACGAGACGGGAAGGGAAAGGACGAAAGCGACGGGACGGGAAGGGAAAGGACAAAAGCGACGGGACGGGAACGGAAAGGACGAAAGTGACGGGACGGGAAGGGAAAGGACGAAAGCGACGGGATGGGAAGGGAAATTGTGAAAACGACGGGATGGGAGCGGAGAAAGTGAGAGCGACGGGAGGAGAGCGGAGAAATTGAGAGCGACGGGAGGAGAGCGGAGATTTTGAGAGCAACGGGAGGAGAGCGGGGAAATTGAGAGCGACGGGAGGAGAGCGGAGAAAGTGAGAGCGACGGGAGGAGAGCAGAGAAATCGAAAGCGGCGGGAGGAGAGCGGAGAAAGTGAGAGCGACGGGAGGAGAGCGGCGACAGTGAGAGCGACGGGAAGAGAGAGGATAAAAAGTGAGAGCCAAGGGAGGAGAGCAGAGAAATCGAGAGCGAGGGCCAAAGAACGTGTGAAGGGGAGGGCGACGGAATGGGAGGGGAAATCGAGAGGGCGATCGGGAGGGTTGTAGTGAAAGGCGAGCGCGATAGCGACGACTGAGCGGCGATGGTAGTAAAGGCACGGTTCAAATACGCCATGGACGGGAGTTTGACGATTTCGCGCGAGATTAAAAAAATAGCATTACGCTGAGAGGCCATGTCTTACTACATTACGCACTCGAGCTACGTTGCTCATTGCGTGCCTATGAGAAGGGCGACTAGGATTTCAGATATTCTTAGCTAGACATAAACTAGTGACCACGGAAGTGTGAAAGAGAGATATGAACCCCTTTCCAGCTTGAAACTGAAGTTGGCCAGGCGACTCAAGCCATCGCTTTACAATGTTCGTGCGAGTGCAGCACGTAGACGTGATGGAACCACCACGACGGTAAGTTGAGACGTGGTCTTCGACGAAGACAAGTTTCCGACAAAGGAACAACCAACGCCGCAACTTACCGTCGTCCTTCCCACACGAGAGGATGATGAAGCGGTGGAGGTTCCATCACAAGTGGAAAAGGAAGCTGAAAATGGAGGGGGAGAGAACGAGGAGAGCGACGACGACGTGGTGGAGGTGCCATCAACCGAGGCGGCAACTTCCTCCACACCTTCCTCCCTCCCATTGGCGTTGACCCGCGAGCAACGTATACGTCGCCCCAACACGAAGTACAACGACTACGCTATGGTAGCCGTTGGGGAGTTGGACGAGGAGCGTGCAGCATATTGCTTCGCAACCTTGGGTGATGACCCTCGCACCCATACCGAGGCTTTGGCTTCTCCGGATGCACCACTATGGTGGGGTGCAAATGGGTGCTTAAGAAGTTGGGAGCCGATGGGAGTGTCGAACACTACAAGGCGAGGCTTGTAGCTCAAGGCTACACTCAACGAGAGGGGGAGCACTATAACGAGACCTTCGCTCCCGTCGCTAAGGCTACAACTCTTCGGGTGTTGCTCGCGCTAGCGGCATCTCTCGACCTCGAGGTGGAGCAATTGGACGTTTGCACCGCCTTCCTCTACGGGCTTCTCATGGAAGAGGTCTACATGCGGCAACCCCCGGAGTACGATGACGGTAGCGGAAGGGTGTGGAAGCTCAAGCGTACCCTCTACGGCTTGAAGCAAAGTCCACGCGGATGGTACAAGCGCATCGACGACTTTCTTCTTCAACACGGTTTCGCGCGTAGCGAGTGCGATAGCGCTTTATACGTGTTGAAGGAGGGGGAGAAGCAATTGGTGCTTTTGCTCTACGTCGATGACCTACTCCTCTTCTCCGACTCCAAAGACCTCATTCGGGAGGTCAAGCAACGGCTAGGGGCGGAGTTTGCGATGAGGGACTTGGGGCCGGTCACGTACTACCTTGGGATGCACGTCGATCGTGACCGAGCCAACGGGACCATCCACCTCCACCAAGAGAAGTATGTGAAGGGGTTAGTGGAGAGCTTCGGCATGGGCGATAGCAAACCGGTGGGAACACCACTAGCTACGGGATTTTCTTGCCTCACGGGAGAGGAAGAATCCACCATCGACGAAGCCGAAGTGAAGCGGTTTCATTCGCTAGTGGGCTCGCTCATGTATGCCGCCGTTTCTACTCGCCCCGACCTCGCATACGCCGCCGGGGTGCTTGGACGAGTCGTGAGCAACCCTCATACCGAGCATATGCGCGCGGGAGGACGCGTTCTACGCTACCTTCAAGGCACACCTAACTTGGGGCTCGTGTATGAAGCCGGCCCGATTGAACTCAAGGGCTATGCCGACTCGGACTACGCGGGAGATCCGAGCACGCGCAAAAGTACCTCCGGGTATGTCTTCACCTTGCTTGGGGCAGCCGTGAGTTGGCAAAGCAAGAAGCAACCAACCGTGGCTCTAAGCTCAACGGAAGCGGAGTATATGGCACTCACTCAAGGTGCCATGGAGGCAATATGGTTACGGCGTCTTCTAGCGGAGCTTGGGCATCCTCAACCCAACCCAACTCCTCTCTTTTGTGACAACCAAGCCGCCATAAGCCTCTCTCACAATGCCGTCCTTCACGGGCGAACCAAGCATATCGAAGTGAAACATCACTTCATTCGTGAGGCGGTTGAGAAGGGTGAGGTCAAACTCACTTATGTGAGCACCAAAGCTCAACCCGCGGACTTCCTCACTAAACCACTCCCTAAGAATTCATTCCGTGCATGCTATGAGCGTGTTGGTTTGCACACCTAGTGGGTTGGGTGCAAGGGGGAGTGTTGGAGGTGGCGTGTGTTGGAAGCAAGGTGGTGGTGGGGCGATTGATATGCCCCCAACCCACCGAATGTGTTGCTTCCGAATGTGTTCACTGCAGGTCTCGAGAAGGTGCAAGTTGACTTCGAGAGACTTGCATTTCGGTGCCACATGGCAGCACAAGAAGAATCGAGACTCAGGGAGAATTCGATTCGGTGAAATTCGAGACTCGAATTTCACCCCTTCGAAATGTTACTCGAACATTCGAGTGTACCGCGGTTCAAGGTTACTTGTGCGACTCGATGTTTGTTGCATGCTATAAATCTGTTTGCTTTGTATTGCATGCTTAATACTGGAAAACGTGAATCACTTTGTACACAGTGCATTCGACAACAAATTCCAGAGAGTTTCCAATCCTTCAACATAGAGCATAGCTTTCACGTTAGTAGCCATATCTCGCTCGATACTTAGGTGATCGAGGTGATCTACGGCTCGTTGGAAAGCTAACAGAGTGCTCTACTGATTAGAACAATTCCCAGTTCCTGAATAGTAGAGGAGAGTACTCTACATCAGTGACCAGGCCCTCAGATTCGTTTTGGGGCACGCTGATCGCTCAGCGTCCCTTGAAGGCCAACGCTGATTTTCAGTGTCGTCGTGTTGAAAACACTGATTTTTCAGTGTACAAAAAATATAAAGGCTGAACAGTCAGTGTTGTTATTCACTGTTACATTGATTGTTATTCCTGCACTCGTCAAGGGACTTTGTTGAGCGAGGAATTTGGGCAATCGTTATGGCTCATGGGCTCAATCATGGCGAAAACGCACTGTAGGTACCGTGGTTGGCTGCCTAGGTAGCAAGTCACGGCGCCAATCACGGCGAAAAGGCAAGACGGGAATTTCAGATTCAGGGTCGCACTCGATATAAACACTGAAAAGTCAGAGTTCGAAATTAAGAAACACTGAAACATCAGGGTCGTTTAAAAACAAAAGGCTGATGCATCAGGGTCATGATAAAAAACGAGGGTCAAACTTCAGAAATTCAGGGTAAAAATACTGACTTCTGAGGCCCTGTCAGTGACCACGGAAGTGTGAAAGAGAGATATGAACCCCTTTCCAGCTTGAAACTGAAGTTGGCCAGGCGACTCAAGCCATCGCTTTACAATGTTCGTGCGAGTGCAGCACGTAGACGTGCGAGGGCTGACATTCTTTTGGCGGGAGCTCAATTATTGTTTTAAATATTTTTTGGCGACAGCCAATCACATCAGTTCGATCTGAAAAGTTTGGATGATTGAAACAGTGCTTTTTCGCCCTGATATCTTTCTCTTTGAGAATCTCCTCGCAGCACTCTTTCAAGCTGGGTCGGGGTTCACTATTTTAGCTGCTGGCTTTAAAACCGGGGTGCACATTCAGCTGAATGTGCATCAAAGGTTATCCCTTGACTGAGTGGGTTACGAGGTGTGCTTTCAACCCCTTCAAGTCGAAATTCGTTTCCCCCCTCCCCCGCAATTTCGTTTCCCCACGCCCCCGCAATTTCATTTCCCCCTCCCCGTCGAAATTCGTTTCCCCCCTCCCCCGCAATTTTGTTTCCCCCCTCCCCCGCAATTTCGTTCCCCCCCCTCCCGCCAATCTGTTTCATCCCTCCCGCCATTCGGTTTCACCCACTCCCGCCATTTCACCCCCTCCCGCCACCTACGAAATGCCCGAAGCTCTAGCGGAATCATTTTTTTGTCGCCCCTCGTGAGCCAATCACTGTTTTTCTCCAAACCCCCTTCCCAACATCTCAAGCCGAACCGCGTTGAATGTGCACCCTGGTTTTAAGATGCGGAGGACAAGAGGGAAGAAGACTGATATGCAGGCGGAGAATGGAGGGTAAAAGGTGTGGGGGAGGGTGTGGGGAGGGGGTTGGTCTTGAACAACATAGAAGATCAAAGAAGAAAAGAAAGAAGGCAAGAAAACAAAGACAAACGAAGCACCAAGACAGATGGAAGGATACCAGACTACAGTTGGCTTGACAGGCTCCCAACTGAAACAGTCTAGCAGGCTCCCAATTAAACCTTTATGCTACTCCCGTTCCCTTGTACCAGCTAACCCACCCTCTCTAAACCTCACCCAAGATCCCCATTTCCGGTCTTTATTAAAAAAGCCTGCTCTTCCCAAGACCCCATACCTCCACCTTCCTCTGATGTGGCTTCCTTCCTCCCCCTCCGCCCCAAGTAATTACCAAGTTCAAGGCTGCTTTCACCTTCACAGAGGCATCCACTTATTCCTTTATTGTCCCCAATTTCTTCATTTGGCATGGCACCAGCAGCGCCGTATCATGCACGCGACCATCCAGCAGCTGCTCCAGGCAGCATTGACACTAGGGGATCCCCCCTCACTCAAGCCGCTTGCCAGCTAGGCACCGGCTCTTCTCGACTTGAGCAACGATTGACCCACGAACTTGTGCCTTGCGCCCGTCCCGCCACCATCGCTATTTCCCAAGATTCCCACTCTGTCGCGCGCAACGTTTTTCCCGCTCACGTTTTTTCCCCGCCCACCGCGTCCCCTGGCGCCAATCACCCCCCCTCCCATCCACTTCCCCCCCGCCTATCATCAGGCCGCCCGCGCCTTTTGTGCCGTGTCAAAAGCCCCCGCGGCGCCCATAGCTCCGCCCGCGCTCGCCATGAGGCGGCACGCGGCGGGCTGGAAGGGCGGCACGAGGAGCGACGCGTTGAAGAGCAGCGAGGGGCAGCGCGCCGTGATGTCGAGCCGCCGCACCGCCTTCTGGTTCAGCCACGGGTGCTCCAGCACCTCGAACGAGCTCAACCGTTGATCCGGGTTCACGCGCAGCATCCGACGGACGAGACTCTTCGCGTCGGCGGAGATGCCTTTCCAGCTGGGCGACACGAAGTTGATCGGCAGCGAATCGTGAAGCGCGAGCGTCGCCGAATCGACGGCCGGAAGACGCCCCGTTAGAATGGCGCACAGCGTGATTCCGAGGCTCCACACGTCAGCCTTCAACCCGTACGACCCCCCGCTACTGTCACATCGGGCAACGCCGGTCCCTCCAGCGGCGGCAGCAGCAGCGCCAGCGGCTGCTGCTGCTGCGGCGGCGGCGGCGGCCTGGTCCATTTCCGGCGCCATGTACTGCCGCGTGCCCGCTCCGAGATCCGTCTTCTTTCCGTTGAGTCCGCCTTTAACGACCGTCGACAGCGCGAAGTCCGCGAGCTTCACTCCCCAGATTCGCCGTCCCGCTCCCACGTGCGTCGCCGCGATTGACGGCGGAAGATACGCGCTCCAGGACGGCGTTTGCTGGGCCTTTTCCGGTGCGCCGGGAGGAGCTGCGACGGTTTTGATTGAACCCGGGAGCTTGGATGAATTCGTCGCAGCAGTCGCACGGGGCCGGTTCGTAATATCGCCCAGCGGCTGTCGCTTCTTCGCCCGAGCTTTTCCGTCTCCAGCATCTCCCGTCGCACGTGCAGTCGCACGTTCCACCGCATCCGCAATCTCAGGCGCGTTTTCCGGCGGGCGAACGAGCAACACGTTATCCGGCTTGATGTCCCGATGCATCACTCCCGACGCGTGACAGTACGCGACGGCCGACGCGATCTGCCGGAATACGGTGGCGGCGATAGAAGATCGCCGCCCGGTACAAGCTCCATCATTACATGCACCTCCGCCGCGGCCGCGTCGACGATAAAATCCACGAGGCGCACCACGTTGGGGTGGTCGCCCACCATCTCGAGCGCGCGCACCTCCGCGCGGATGTCGATGATGGCGGAGTGCGACAGGGGGAACGTCTTGCACGCCACGCGCGGCGCGCCGGGGGGCGCGGTGACGTCCTCGCACTCCCACACGCTGCCCTGCGAGCCCTTGCCCAGCTTGCGGATGCGCCGGTACCGCCCGCCAATCAGGTCGCTCATCGTCGTGTCGGCAGTCGGGCTCCCCGCGGGACTGCCTTCCGGCCCCGTAGGCGCGGTGCTCATGGTCAGAAGAGATTTGTCTCGCGCCGCGGTTGCGGTCCCTCGATGTGATGGAGATTTGAGTTGTTTCGAGAGGAGGTTGACGGAGATCTGACGTGTTTTTGTCTAGAGAATGAACGGCTGTGTTGAGAATTCGGTAGATGCCTCAGGCCACGAGACAACGTTCAGGAGGAATTTGAGAAGCTTTTTGAATCAGCGAGATTAATGCGGGTACCTTGAGGTGCTTCCGCGTATCTATCCTAGGCAACTCGCCGGGGAATTCAGAAGGAAATCACCGCAATTCAACTTCTTCTTGAATTGACCTCTCAGCGGCCAGGGCTGGCAATTATCGAGCAAGCGGATCTCCAGGAAACAGGATGAGATAGACGCACAAGATGCTTGGTGGAATAATGGTTGCACAGGCGCGACACGAAAGTTGGGTCCTAGGAACCAGAAAGGAAGTGGCACAAGTTTCTTGTGGGAACAGAACAAGAGAGACGGGAATGATGACAAGGGAGAGCAAAGAACGAATGGGAGAGTGATAGCAAGGCGGATGGGATTCAAAATGCGCGTTCGTCGAGTCGCAACCCAATTCAGGGCACAGCTGAAGCTGCCCGATGTTGCCAATCAATGATGGATTTGCAGAAACGTACACCTTATGTTCCAGCAGGCCTACACTAAACCCGCAACACCGGAGGGTTCAAACGCTTGTATCTGTAATTCGTTTTTCTGCCCTGAAAATAATCATGGGGACCCTCCAGCTGGAACTGGAATGGGGAATTATTGATGCGCGAAATTATTGGCGCACCTACCCTGCGACGTCAACTGAAGGACGACGTTCGATATACCGGATCATGGTGAGACTCGGTTAACCTACAAGACTGTTTTAGCGGACCAGCACATATTCATCACAGATGAGTACTTCTAAGCATCACATCACCCCACCTGCATCAACACCATGTTGTGAAGTTATCACGATTATCATTCTAATCACAACAAGTAATATAGCATCAAGATATTTAATAGTATGTTAATCATCGCGTTTGGATATTAACGTTACCTCATGCTTACTACTACCATAACAAATGCGTCTGGAGATTAACATTACCTCATGATTACTTACTACCATAACAAAGCTCTAAATCAGAAACACCACCAAACTCTGATATGCAGTCAGCTTGCATTGGGCTGTTGTGAAGTTGACTTGCTTGTCGTGGGCGTGTTACTCAGCTATAACGAATTCGGTGCTTCATCCTTCAAGCGTCAGAGCTTCCGTTTGTGCCACATTCGCGAACACTTGAACTGATGCGCTGCTGTTTGCGGTCTTCGGTCCACCCTATTTCCGTGTGCCAACTTCACCCTGGTTTTTTCGTGACACAAGCTGGATGAGTGTCGCACGCACCTATGTCATTTTATCCCAAACTGGGAAAAACATTCGAGCCGCCAGCGCCACATCGTGCGACTTCGAGCTGGAATATTTATTGTTTCAAAGTTACCCTGATCGCAAAGTTCTGTGTGGGGAAACACTTGACATGTAAGAAGTTGGATTTATGCACAACTGAAGAGCACACTGGTGCACTAGCAAGCATGTCAAATAATGGTGGGTTCACTTGGACTATTTTTTTCAAGCATGAGTTTGTCGCAACAGATCCCCACACATCTTGGCACCAGTCTTTATGAGCTGCCCAGCCAAGGGCACCTCAAACTGTCGCTTTCAACTCTAACCTCTCTCCCTGCGCGCTTCGCGACTTTCGAGTCAATCACTATCACCAACTTCATAAGCAGTCCCCATTCCCCCCCTCTCCCTCCCCGCCCAGCATAGCTCCGTTTTCAGTCACCCTCGGATTAGAAACACAGGGCGCCCGCGCCTCGTCCTTTATCGTCGGTGAACCACTCTGCTATCCAACCCTGCGATATTTGTTTGTGCCCTCTTGCCGCCGCCGGCAGCCTTGCTTGCTGAGACCCAGGGCTGGGAAATGCTCCATCTATTGCCATGACAAGCAAGCAGCAGGACGAGTCACGAGAAATCAATCCACCTATACTGTGGCTAGGATAGGAGTCTTGGTCTACGGAGAAAATGATCGCTTATTTGGTGCCTCAGAGCTCGTTTGGCCCTCCCCGCTACCCGGGTGTGTCCCCTCCGTTGACATAGCGAAGGCTGTTACAATTTAGAGTCAGACGGTTATGCGTAGGTGCTTCTAGAGTGCTTTATCTCTCTGCGCGTTTTGCAGACTACTCCTCTTGATGCCACTATCACTCTTGAAATCAAGAGGCTGAGCAACGGCTGCTGCGATAAATAGCCCAGGCAGGCTAACAGGGTGAACAGAGAGAGAGTGAGCATACAGAACGTAGGCATCAGACCGAACGAACGGCGGAACAGACGGAACAGAAGAAACGGACGGCGGGAACAGACGGAACAGAAGGAACGGACGGCGGAGCAGACGGAACAGAAGGAACGGACGGCGGAGTAGACGAAACAGAAAGAGCAGACGGCGGAACAGACGGCGGAAAAGACGGAACAGACGCAACGCACCGAGCAGGGTAGGCAGCGCGCCTCACCGGGGAGCCACGTGGCTCTCGTATAGCATCTCCGTGTAGCTTAGATCGTCCCAGCGCTGACGTAAATCTCCACACCCCGCAGCTTGCGCCAATCAGAGGCGCCAAAGGAGGTGTTCCCCGCCTTCATGACCCACGCGGAGTCGCAGCCTCCCTCTGAGTCGCATCGCGCATGGCATGCGGAGAGCTTCTTGGATTTTGCGCGCGCTCCAGCGCCGCTTGCTCCTTCCTCGATCAACGATTCACTGCGCGCCGACTGTGTCGCTGATGGATCGAAGTTTTCACAGCATGTAGGCAGCGCAGGAGAGAAATGTAACGGCGACGTTTCGGGCGACGAGCTGATTGGTGGGCGATACCGTCGCATCCGTCGCGTCGGTGCGGGGTCGCAGGCGGTCGTGTGGGAATGCGAAGACGTTGTAACGTCGCAGCGGGTCGCATGCAAGAGCTACGCGATGGCGCAGGCTCCGATGCGCGACATAGCGGCGGAGGTGCGATCGCTGGTGATCGTGGGCGACCATCCGAACATCGTGCGACTGCACGACGTGGTCGTTGGGCGACAGGGAAGCACCCGAGCAGGCGGAGTAGCATGCGGAGGGACAGGCGGAGCAGCCTGCCGAAAAGCAGAAATAGGAGCAGGTGTAAGGGCAGGTAAAGCAGCAGAGTCAGATAACTCATGTAAACCTGATAACTCATCCGCGGCTCCGATTTTACCCGCGACATCTCAGCCGTTGAATCCTTCGATTGACGCGAGCGTGCACGTGCTGATGGAGTTGGTCCCCGGCGACGATCTCCTCACGGAGATTCTGCAGCGCGGCCCGCTTGCCGAGCCGCTCGCGTCGGCTTTGTTCCGGCAGCTCGCATCGGCTGTCGCATACTGCCATGCGTCGGGGGTGATGCATCGGGATATCAAGCCGGATAACGTGCTTTTGCTGCGGCCTCCTGATTCCGCCCGCGGCGGGCCTCGCATTGCGACGGGCCCTCCGACGGAACATGCGAGATGTGCGACGAGCGTCGCGGCGGCGATTGGCGCGGGGACAGCGACGGAGCAGCAGATGGCAGGAGCAACGGAGAGAACTGCACGGCAGACGGGCGTAGCACGCGGAGCAGCTGACCCGCCAAACCAGGGTTTAGGGTTCCAACCACATGGCCTTGCACCTTCCAAGGCGGTACTGAATGCCGGAGCCACCGGAGCGATGATTGGAGCGAGCAGCGCCGCGTTGCCGCCAGCGGTCGGGGGGAGGAAGGCCGCGCGGGAGCCTCGCGCGGAGGAGGGGTTGTGGGGGTGGCTCATCGGCGCGCGGCTGTTCCCCTCCGCCGCGGGCAGAGTCGCGAATTCCGACGGGCTCGGCGCGCAGGGCAGGGGCGCCAACAGCCCGCTTCGGGTCGTTCCAGGGAAGGTTGTGGGGAGGCGGTTCGCGGGGAAGAACACGCGCGTTCATCCCATGGCGGGGGAGGAGGCGGAGGGGACTCTTGGCGCAGCGCTGACCGCGCAATCCGCGCACTCCTCAAGCTCTTCCACTTTCCCCTCGCTTTCTTCAGCCAGTTCTATCCCCTTTGCGCCTACGCCCTCCCCAACCTCTGTCCTCCCGTCGCCCTCGATTGTGTCACACTCTCTATCACCCGCACCCTCCACACCCTGCCGTCTTACAATCACGACTGGGGGAGAGTTTGGGGAAAGGCGGTACCCCCTACCGCCCGCTTCCGCGGAAAGCAGCTCGTTTTCCGCCGTGGACGCGGGGTGGGCGCACGTGGGCGCGGAGAGGGGCATCTGGGGGGTGAAGCTGGCGGACTTTGCGCTGTCCACAGTGGTGGCGGGGGGCATGCGCGGGGCGATGGCGGACAGGGGCGCGGGGACGCGGCAGTACATGGCGCCGGAGATCCTTCTGCTGGAGGTGCGGCGGAAAATGGCCAGGGAGCGGAGGAAAGGGGGAGGGGGGGAGCCGGGGGGCAACGGGGAAGCGGTTCAGGGTGGGGGTGATGCAGGGGTTGGAGGGGATGCAGAGGGTGCAGGGGATGCAGTGGGTGCTCGGTATGCAGGGGATGCAGGGTGCAGCTATGGCATGAAGGCGGACGTGTGGAGCATGGGTATCACTCTCTGCTCCATGCTCACTGGCCGCCTGCCCATTGTCAAACCGGGGAAGCTGCTGGCCATGCTGCATGCGCAGCAGCAGCAGTTGGAGCAGCAGCAGCAGCAGCAGCAGCAGCAGCAGCAGCAGCAGCAGCAGCAGCAGCAGCAGCAGCAGCAGCAGCAGCAGCAGCAGCAGCAGCAGCAGCAGCAGCAGCAGCAGCAGCAGCAGCAGCAGCAGCAGCAGCAGCAGCAGCAGCAGCAGCAGCAGCAGCAGCAGCAGCAGCAGCAGCAGCAGCAGCAGCAGCAGCAGCAGCAGCAGCAGCAGCAGCAGCAGCAGCAGCAGCAGCATGTGGAGTGGCAGCAGCAGTGGCAGCAGCAGCAGAAGCAGCAGTGGCAGCAGAGGGAGGGTGATGTGGGGGTGGAGGTGAGGAAGCAGCAAGGAGAGCTGGTAGCCTGGCAGATGTGGCCAGGGCAATACCCGTGTTCGCAGCAACCAGCATCGCATGAGGGGGAGCAACAGACGAAGCAGAATTACCACCAACAGCAGCGGCAGCAGCAGCATCAGCAGCAGCAGCAGCATGTCATGGCATCTCAATCACAAAAAGCTCATTCCCAGGCGATCTATTCACCCATGGCGCATGCTGCTCACAGCTACACTAGCGGCGCCCCTGCATTCACTAGTGCCACTTTCCACACAGTCACATCCGCTCACCTTCACCCCCCCGATCCCAGCCTTGCACCGGTGGACATGAACAGCAGCCTGCACATCGACTTCGAATCTCCTGGCTGGAAACCCATCTCTGCAGCGGCGAAAGATCTCATCCGTCGAATGCTCTGCATCAACCCGGATCAACGGCTGAGCTCGCTTGAAGTGTTGGAGCACCCGTGGCTGAACCAACGGTCTGTGAGGAGCCGCGACTTGGCTGCTCTTTGTCCCGCCTTGCTGTTCCGTACACCATACCCATCCACATCCTGATCTACATCCGCATCAACATCCAAGTCCACATGCACTTCCACATGCACATCTACATCCACTTTCATGTCCTCATCACTTCAAACGGCACCTGAGATGGCAATGTGAGATTGGCGTGCTAGGGGTCGTGCTACTGGTGCTGCTAAGGCCTGAGGGTGCGTGGCCACTGGCACAAGCAAGCACCGTTTCCCATGAGCACTGGGATTCCATTTGATGCTTGTTTTAGGTCAAGGCCTAGAAGCTTACAGTAAGTAGTCTGGGCTCAGTTTTACTAGAAGCTGGACTGGCTGGTGCACAGCCACCTCAGCTGTGCAAGTCGAGTGCCAGATTTAGCACTGTATGAAGATAGGGACGGCAATAGTTAGTTGTTTATGTCAAGAAATTGAACGAGAATGAATGCATTGAGCACAAAGTTGGTACAAGTACTACACCCTAATTGGGCTGAACCTCTAATGGGTTACCCCATGTTACGAGTGCAATTGAGCGAGCGAGCGAGGATTGCACTATCGAGACAAGAATACAATGAGCGAACGAATGAGCGAAGAATATATAGCTGTTACGAGTGCAATTGAGTGAGCGAGCGAGGATTGCACTATTGAGACAAGATACATCTGAGCGAAGGAATGAGCGAAGAATATATAGTGAAAATGGTGGTAACGGTAATGTGGGAAGTTGGGGTGCGCGACGGGCCTAATGCCGAGGTTTGGGGAAATGTCGAGGCGGAGGTACGTAGCGCGGGTTATCAACTGAACCGTGTGGTTAGGTCGCATCGTGAACAGTGGCGGGAATGGTGTCGAGGCGAATGTCGCGAGTGGTAACGAAATGTTGTGGGGTGCTGTCAGTGTTGTACGCGCTGAGCAGGGACGCGAAGTAAGGAAAATGATTTTTCCTTACACTACCCCCCCCCCCCTCAAGGAGGCCTCCCTTACGAGAGCGCGTGTATGTCCCGGAAATTTCTGCTGCGCAAGTAGTCGTTGAGGACGGGGTGGTTTTCGATTTTGTCCAGGGGAACCCAGTTGTCCTCGGTGGGTGTGCGGTCTCTCCAGCGTATTAAGAATTCGACCCTTCGGGCTCCTCGTGGGTCACGAACTCGGTGGCTCATAATCTTTTCGGGCGTGATGACTGGCTCGGATGGTGGTCGGGTCATGCTGGTTGGGCGATGTCGGGCCAGTTGGCTGGTGGATGGGATGTAGGGGCGAAGTAGGCTGACGTGGAAGGAGGGGCTGACGTACCAGTCAGCGGGGAGGAGGAGGTGGGCGGTGACCGGTGTGACCATGTGGCTGATTCGGAATGGCCCACAATATCGAGGGCGGAGTTTTGGCGTTATGGGCAGGCGGAGGTTTTGAGTGTCGAGTAAAATTAAGTCGTCGGGCTGGTAAGTGACGGGTCGGCGGTGGCGGTCGGCGTTGCGTTTAGCGATAACATTCGCTTTTTTAATTGCGTCCGCTGCCCTGGTCCGTGCTTCCTGCAGGATTTCAGCGAACTGTTGTGCTCGTGGCACCGGGTTGTCGGGATTTGGGGTCATGGGTACTGTAGGGTCTTGTCCGTAGTTCAGGTAAAATGGTGACTGTTGGGTTGTGGCGGATGGCGAGTTGTTGTACGCGAATTCGATTAGTGGCAGTTGCTGTTCCCAGGTGGTGGGGTCGTCGCACGTGGCTCGGATTAACTGTTCCATGGTCTGATTTGTCCGTTCTGTCTGTCCGTCGGTTTCGGGGTGGTACGAAGAACTGAACTGCAGCCTCGTGCCGAACTGCTGCCATAGGTTCCGCCAGAAATTGCTGGTAAATTTTGTATCTCGGTCGCTGATTATCGCTGCTGGTATCCCATGTAATCGAACAACGGTTGCGATGAAGAGGCGGGCCGTTTCTCCGGCTGTGATTGATTTCTTGCATGCTGCGAAATGTGCCATTTTCGTCAGTCGATCGACGACGACCAAGATCGCGTCGTTCCCACTGGCACCCGCCGGTAACCCCGTGACGAAGTCCATCGTCACCTGCTGCCAAGCACGCTCTAGGGGTGGTATCGGCTGCAATTGTCTTGCCGGCCGCTTCCGTGATGATTTCATGACCTGGCAGGTGGGACACGATGCCACGTGTCGTTGCACGTCGGTCAACATTTCGGGCCAGTAGTAGTACCGCTGCAGCTGCTGCCGTGTTTTCTCTACTCCGAAATGCCCTGAGGTAACTCCGTCGTGTGCCTCCTGCAACAGTAATTCCCGTAGGAGCGTGTAGCCCGGTACCCAGATGCGATCAGTGCCGGCTTTTACGTAATAGACTCCTCTTGCTGCTGCAAATTGCTGCGAGTTTCCGCCTGTGAAAAATGGATCAGTCTGGTAACCGTGGGTAAATAGGCCTGTTAACAGTGGGCTGGTTTGGGCGAGTAGTATTGCGTGAACTTGGGCTGTGGGTCGGGTTAATGCGTCAGCGATGTTCGATTCCCCCTTTTTTTAGGTAACCGTGTAGTGAAAATTCGACTTGAGGTAGTCGAGCCAGCGGATTTGTCGTGGGTTGAGGTGGGGTTGTGCGCGGAGGTACTGTAGTGACTTGTGATCTGTCCGTACTGTCACGTCGGCGCCGGTCAAGTAACAGCGCCACACTTTGAACGCATGCACGATCGCAAGCATTTCGCGATCGTGTATCGGATAATTCTTCTCGGGCGGATGCAGCTTTCGTGATTCGTAGGCGATGGGCTGTAACCCGTTGCCGAAGTCTTGTAGCAGTACGGCGCCGATGGCGATGTCGCTTGCGTCAGTAATTACTTCGAATGGGCGGTGTGGGTCGGCGATGCGCAGTATGGGCGGTGAACAGAGAACATTTTTTAGGGTGGAGAAGGCAGCATGCTCTTTCTCCCCCCACGTAAAAGCGACCCCCTTCCTCAGCAAATCCGTAAGCGGGGTTGTTAAGCGTGCCATGTCGGGGACGAACCGGCGCATGTAATTAACAAAACCCAAAAAACTATGCAGTTCCGTGATGTTCGTCGGGGGGTGCCACGCTTTTACCGTATCCAATTTCTTCGGGTGGATTTCTACTCCAGCCTCCAAAATAACGTGCCCCAAAAACTCTAGCCTGTCCTGAAAAAACTCGCACTTGGAACCCTTTGTCAGTAGTCAGTGTTTGTCTAGAACTGCAAATACTGCTTCTAAATCTTCTAAGTGCTGCTGCTTATCCCGACTGTAGACTAGGATGTCGTCGAGGTAGATGATTACGCATTTATCTAAGAGTGGTCTAAATGCCTCGTTCATCGTCATCTGAAAAGTCGCCGGTGCGCTGGTCAGCCCGAAAGCCATCACCGTGGATTCGAACGACCCATACCTAGTCCTAAAAGCTGTTTTGGCGCAGTCCGACGGTTCGACCCTAATCTGGTGGTAACCTCCCCGTAAGTCGATTTTCGAAAAGACTCGTGCTGTTCGCAGTTGATCTATCAGTTCGTCAGCTCGGGGGATGGGGTATCGTGATTTAACTGTAACCCTGTTAAGTGCTCGGTAGTCGATACACATGCGAAACCCGCCGTCCTTTTTCGGTGTGAACAGTATCGGTGCGGCGAATGGCGATGAGCTCGGTCGGATGAATTTTTTCTCTAACAGGTAATATAACTGTTTCCTTAGCTTGTCGAGCTTGGGTTGTGTCAGTCTGAACTGTCGCTGTACGGTTGGCTGTGCCCCGGGCTCTAATTCTATTCGGTGATCGTGCGCCCGCTGAGGTGGCAGTCCCTCGGGTAAGTCGTCAAGGAAGATTCTCGGGAATCGTTTCAACAGTTCCTGTGGTTCCGATGGTACTGCCGCTAGTAGTTTCTGAAAATCACTCGGCTTGTCTGTTTCTTCCACTATCGCGATATCCACTGCGTACACGTCAGCTCCAGCGGCGACAGCCCGTTTCATCGTGATGGCGTTGACGTGAATCGTTGAAGACTCAGGCGACTGCCAGCGAGGTAGCTCCACCCAGTTACCGCTACTTCGCACAGTGCAGCTGCCTGTCGTCCAGTCGATTCGCGGGTTGTATCGTCGCAGCCAATCACGTCCCAGTAAAATGTCGTGCCCATCCAATGTCGTCGCGAGCATTTCCTGTGTAAACCCGAAATTCCCCCCACAGCGGACTTTTACTCTTTCCACTTTCTCCCGTATGGCCAGCGGCGTTCCGTCAACTAAGCGTGCATCGATCTCTGGTAAGCACCGACTAAGTGTCAGTTGCAGCTTTTTTGCAGTCGCGGTATTAACTAAGCTGTGACTTGCACCTCCGTCTATAAAAATCTTCACTGCTGTTCCCTGTATTTTCCCGTGAATCAGTACTGGGCAATCCGACGATGTACCCTCCTTATTCGTCCGAGCCCGATCGATAGCGTGAATCGGTACTGTGACTCGGTGAGGGTCGGTGAAGTTGGGCGAGCAGGCAGTCTCGTCAGTAGTTGGCCCAACTTCTACTGACTGCTGGCGTTTCCCGGCCTCTGAGACTCTCGCCCCTGCTCTGTTCCACGACGCCTTAGCTCCTTTGGACATTCACTTTTGCGATGGCCCGGCCTATTGCAAGCAAAGCAGTGCCCCTTAAACGGTGCGGCAGCTGCATTTGTCGCAACGGCGTGTACGGTGGCGTGCTCGGTCGGTCCCCGAGGACGTTGTCCGTAGTAGGACCCCGGTCTCGGTCGCCGTAGGATGTCGATTTTCTCGGCGAGCGCGAGGATCTCGTTGAAATTCGAGAGCCCGCGTAGCATAATTTCGTGCGATATGTCCGGCTTTAGCCCTCCAACGTAACGGTCCACCCGCTCCGCTTCGTGCATATAGCCGACTTGTTCGCATAGTGCGAGAAAGCCGCTAGTGTAATCTTGAACCGACCCGAGCTGCCGCCAAGTGCGCAGCTTCTGACGCGCCGAAATCGAAGCCGCGATCGGCTCGAAACGCGCTCGAAGCCCTGCGCACCACGCATCCCACGTGCTGTACTGGGCTGTCTCGCAGAATGAACTCCAGGTGACGGCTGGGCCCGTGGGCCCGTCTTCATGCGATGGTGGCTCGTAGGCGCGTGGCGACGTCACGATGACTCGCCACCAGTCCATGGCGGGGCCCCTCAGCAGCGAAACAGCACAGCGAATCTTCGCTGCGTCCGACTCGACGTAATTGGCGTCGAAAAACACGTTCATCGTGAAGACCCACGACTGAACCGTCGGACCCCCACGCTGGCTCGGGTCGAAACAGGGTGGACGCTGCGGCTTGAGTGGCATTGGTTCCGTGACGGCGTATTTGCCACTTGT